TAATGATTCTTGTTATTCCAGGCAGTTTTCCAAACAAAAAGGAAGCTTGTTTACACTTCTTAGTTGAGAAGCATAAATACCGTCTGCTGGATGGCATTGGAAGGATCAGTAGAACGCTACAGAACAGAGTGGCACGTACAGCGAGTCTGTCTTGGCTAGGGACAAAGGTTTCTAGTTAGAAAAGTAGCAAAAGGATCTTACTGCTGTGAAGTTGAGATTCCAAGGTGGTCCCCGCAGTGTATACATACTCTGAGGACAGCTTTAGAGCAAAGCTCCTGACACAGATCATTTAGACTGGGAGCCAGACTACAATTTCTCCCCCAATTATATGGACTCAGAGGCATTCCAGTAAACTGTCCCTTTGTGAATGAAATAACTCAGCTTTTCATACTGAAAACCTTTCCTATGGAGACCAGTTTACTTTTAGAATGTGATTATTTTGATCTGAAACAGTATTTAGGATAAAAAAGTCGCAAGATACATGTAGTTGCATCTTCAATGAAACAGTATGTTCTCATTATAAAAGCGATTCTTTGCAACGCTTATCAAACCACTACACATTCCACCTAGCACATGGCAGTTTCTGAATGACCTGAGACTCTAAAATCGATGTCTTATGCAGGAGAACTGCCCGACTGCCTCATTGTGGACTTGCCCAAATGAACATCTGTCAAAATCGAGGCGGAACATTGTCTTGTAAAGTTGGTAATTCAAGAGCCTGACAACCTAGCTGTTTTATATCTCTGAGGCATCAACCACGGGTCAGAGCAGTGACTCTCCAAGTGTGGACCTTGGACCAGCAGCAACAGCATCACCAAGAAACTTGTTAGAAATACAGCTTCTTGGGACCCACTCCAGAACCCACTGGATCACACAGGCAGGGTGAGTGAGGCTCAGCAACGATGCTTCCCCAAGTCTTCTGCAGAGATTCTGAGGCAGACTGAGTTCTGAGACCCACGCCCACCAGGGAAATGACTGCTCATTGACTTCGATACAAGCATGTTTGAACAGTACTCTTTGTAATCTCTTTCTCATACATACATGTGCAAGCACACACAGACCCCCCGCTATAAAAACAAATGTTCTTGTCAAGGGAATGGATGAAATATTGTAGTATTAATACATGAAGTATTTACTGTACAATAGAGAAAAGACCCAGCTTAATATACAGCGTAAAAGCATAAATGAAATTTATAGTCTTAATTTTGACTTATAAAAATATAAGAAGTCTACGGTATGACATTTTAAAAAGCAAAACTACAGAACACATTGTTTAGCAATATATTATACGTTAAGGCAATAAAGTCATTTTATTTTAAAACAAAGAAGTGATATACCTTTCATTCTTCACAGAACTGAGTTCTGAGGGTGGTAGGGTGGGGGCTATCAACGAACTGGTCTAGTTCTTAGGTTGGTAGTGAATTCACAGCTGCTCACTGCATTTATGTACGTTTTTATCGGCATATCTTTTTATTCACATCCAATTTCACATAGTAAATTTAAAGGCCCCCAAACAAAAAAGCAAACAAACAAGAAATGCAGCTAAGAACAACGCTGGCTATTATTTAAAATAGGAAGATAACAGAAACCACCTAAATGCTATCACTTACGTTAATTAAAGCGTGCTTGTTCATTACAAAGGGTTTTTAAAGACATGCAATAAGACACCTGGAACCAAAAAAATGTGTAAGGATATTACAAGATGTTTATTTCTTCTTTTTACATGTAAGTTTTCTTCTATGGTGAATAATGAAAATTCTAAAAATCATTAATGATTATTTAACTGTCATTGAGACATTTAATGACACTAAATCATGAAAGAAAATACAGGTCTGTTTGGACACAAGAAAGAAACCGGTCTTTTGTGGGCTCCTCCTAGTCTTATGGGCTTGAAATGACTCAATTTTATATTTTCTCTCATAAAATTGTGTAATAAATTTTATTACTATTATTTCTGATTAAATAATTTCATTTTATTTGTATGCAGAAAGGAGAAAATCATGACTTAAGAAACCATATTTTTTCTATTGAGGGCTTCAATTAAACACCTTTAATTGAACAACAATTAAATCTAATTTCATTAAATCAAAAGTAAAAAGAAAAACCCACCCTGTTGACTGGCTTGTGGCAATGCAGAAGAACGTGAACATGGAGAGGACGCAGGGCAGCCCTCTGTGCTGCCACAGTGAGGAAGGACTATAAGGAGTAAGAGTCAGGGGTCAGTTTCCTCACATACCTCCTTTTCCAATATTCTAGCGATTTCGCCTAAGGTCCGATCCAACGCAGAGACCTTATTGTTCGCCCACGAGCCACTGTCTTGTACTTGAAGCTGTTTTAGAAGATCTTTGGCTAATCTCTGAAGTCTTCAATGCACAATGAAAAAGAAGAGTATGAATAAATTCAACTATAATACTTCAGTTTCTTCACGACTTCAAAACACCAATTATTTTCATTATTGAATTTGAAACTGCTCCTTAGGACACCAGGAAGATAAGGCCTCAGGCTGGCATTTACTTTATGTTCATGACCACCAACCCCTCCCTCATGGCATGAAATAGAGCCAGAGGGCAGAATTATCCATCCATAGAACAATCTGGAGCAAGTGCTACCATCCAGTTCTGTGTGATGCTGAAACCAGAAAAGAGCAGGGTACACAGGAGGTGGAGAAGTGAGAGGATGAAGGTAGGGAAGTGAGTGCACGCTGCGATTTAAATCATGAGGCAGGCAGGCACTATAGTGTCCATCCCCATAAGCATTGTAAACTCTCAGAATGTCAAAGTCGCCATGTTCCAATTTACAGGTGGTTTGGGGATAACCTGTCAAGGCCTCACCATATGAAACTATGCAATCTATGCTTGTACGAAGACAATTAAGTAATTAGAACAAATTTTCTTTTCACACGAGAATAACAGGTATTACCCAGATTGTAAAATTCTCTAGTGTGAGAACTCAAAAGTGTGGATAAAAATTCTTCGTAACCCCTACTTCTGTCCCATACACGTCACTCTCTGACTAACCACCCTAGCCTTTTCTTTACTTGCTTGAATATCCCACTGACAGATCAACAAAAGACACTCACTAGGTTCTCTGGGCAGTGGATCTCTCCACCATTTACCTAGACATCATCCCTGTCTTATTTCCATTTTAGTCTAAGGTAGCTTTCGTAGACCACCATTATCATCGCTTCCTTACAAATCGTCTCCATTCCTTTCTGTTGCTCTGCATGTTGAATCCTATAAGCCAAATCCAGCAGTGGTAACAGTTACTCATGTTTCTTTCATCCTATGAGCCCTGGTGGGGCAGTGGTTACAAGTTAGGTGACTCCCCTAATGAGTTACAGTCTCGGAAACTCACCGGGGCAGTTCTACTCTGTCCTACTGGGTCATTATGAGTCAACATCAACTCTGGCAGCGAGTTTGGTTTTGGTTATGGGCCAGGGATTACTATCAGTGCCTTGCATGGACTAATTTATTTCGCTTGATTAATGAACAGCCAGTAGCCTGTGGCATGCCTACATCTAGGGGGGGAAATCTACATATGTATCTATAGATATAGATATATACATACTGTGGGCAAGATGGGTGTGGCCACACACTCACCATCTAACAAACCCCTCTCTAGTCTGTACACTCCACAAGACTTGTTTCCAGCCTTCCCCACCCTGGTCTAAGCACCCCTCTCTCCTTTTGTCCTCTACTCTCACATTTCAGAGAGAAAACTCCAAGTATTCCAACAAGAAAACCTTTCCTTTCTGCCACAAACGCTACAAGCCTGTTTGCATGCTGCCCCAGCCTCTCCTTTGTCTCTCCTACTACAGGGGAGCTCTTTGCAACAGATCTGCCCCATGCAATATGTCATTTGATTTTTTAAAAATTGTTTTATTGATATACAATTCATACATCATACAATTAAATTGCTTGAAAATATTAAAAAGTATTGTGTAATCATCACTACAATAAGTTTTGGAACATTTTTATCATTTTGTGCTCATTATTAACTCCCCATTTCCCCACAACTTCCCCTGCCCTCAATATGAAACTATTAATCCAGTTACTCTACAGATTTACCTATCCTGGATTCCATGTAAAGAAAAACATACGGGGAAAAATGAGGACCTAATGTCGGGGGTTTAAGTGGAGAGAAAATGTTTTGAGAAACGATGTACAAATGCGCTTTACACAATTGATGTGTGTATGGATTGGCATAACAGTTGTATGAGCCCCTAATAAAATGTAAAAATAAAATAAAAATAAAAGAAAAGAAAAAAAAGAAAAACATACAAACAAAACAAAACAACCCAACAACAGTAACAAAATAAAACAGAAAAGCCTCAATTTAAAAGAAAGTAGAAAATAATAAAAACTAAAATAAATTTAGATTGAGTCCAAAGGGAGGACAAATGATAAAGTGTTAACTTTTAACTTAACGATATCTATCCATTGATTTCTTGACTATTGCTTCTGTGGGTGCTGATTGTTGTGGTAGTTACATAATCTGTTGTCAATTTGAGACTTGAGAGTGCAGGGGTAGAGTCTAGCCTGTCAATCAGGTCACAGCTGGATGACCTCATTTGGAGGCGCTAAGGAGATAAATAGCTCACTGGAGGTGGCACACATGCTCAGTACCCTACGGAACATTCTTGTTGACAAGCCAGATGGAGACAGGCTGATGGCAGCCAGAGCCTCAGAACTGGAGAACCCTCATGGAGACCCCTACCAGCCCTGAGATGCCTCTACTGCCACTGGATCCACAAGACTTCCCACCCACTGGCTTGTGATCTTCCTGCATTTGGCATCATTGCGTGTATTGTGTGAGTCTGTAAGAGGAATTTATAGATTGGTATCGGACATATGGGCTAATATCAGACTTAAGGACTTGATCTAGACTGGGCTGGGATAGTTTCTTAATGTACAATTACTCTTTATATAAAGCTCTTTCTTATACACATGTGTCTATATTTGTTTCTCTAATCTACCCAGACTAAGACAATTGTGTATCCAAATAAAACGAAATCCTTGACGACTTCAGTCTTCTCTCAGTTTATCATGTTGCTTAGTATAGTTGTGAGGATTTTGTTTTATGTTGAGGTGTAGTCCATACTGAAGGGTCTCTGATCTTTACCAGTAAATACTTCAAGCTCTTTTCCCTTTGAGCAAGCAACATTGTGTCATTTGCATAGTTATCCTTCAATCCTGAAGCCACCTTCTTCTTCATAGTCTAGTTTCTCAGATTATGTGCTTAACCTTCAGATTGAATAAGTATGGTGAAAGAAGACAACTCCAACACACACCTCTCCGGAATCTAAATCTCAAAGTTTCCCCTTGTTCTATTCTAACTCATTGCCTCTTTGTCTGCAACAAACATTCTTCACAATGTTATCTATACGCAGTTAGGATTCACATAGTCAAGTGCTTTGGCACAGTCAATAAAACACAGGTAACTATCTTTCTAGCATTCTCTGCTTTCAGTCAAGATCCATCTTACATGGACAATGAGATTCCTCATTGCACAGCCGCTTCTAAATCTGGCTTGAATTTCCTGTAGTGCTCTGTTCATGTATGAGGGAGCTTCAAAATGTTCATTGAAAAATGGAACTAAAAGATCATGGAATTTTTCCAAGGACTTTAGGGGGCCTCTTTCTACTGTTCAAACCATTTTAAAATTTCTTTGGCAAAATTTTACTTGCATGTGACATCAATACTAGTTTTTGACAATTTTCCCATTCTGTGGGTTTCTCTCTCCTTGGAATGGGCTCATCTATGGATTTTTTTCCTAGTAAGTTGGCTGGGTAGCTGTCTTCCAGGTTTCTTGGCATCAAGGAGCGAACACTTTCAGCACTGCATCTATGTGTTGAAACATCTCAGTTGATAGCCCATCCATTCCGAGAGTCTTGTTTTTCCCCCCAATGCTTTGGCTGCTTGGACATCTTCCTCCATATCGTCGATACATGATCATATGCTGCCTCTTGAAATGGTTAACAACGGACTGATTCTTTTTGACACAGTGACTGTACATTCTTCTTATCTTCCTCCATCATTCACTCTTTTGCCCACGGCATCCTTCAATACTTCAGAGGCTTGAAAATTTTCTTTCTGCTTGAGAAATGCTTTGATTTTCTAACTCCAGATCTTTGCGTGCCTCATTATAATACTTTATCTTGTCTTCTAGAGCCCTTCTTGGAAATTTTCTATTCAGCTCGTTTACTTCATCATTTCCTTCATTTGCTTTAAGTACTCTATGTTCAAGAGCAAGTTTCAGGGTCTCTTCTGATATTCATTTTGGTCTCTTTTTTTTCCTGTCTTTTAAATGGCCTTTGGTTTTCTTCATAGATGATGTCTTTGATGTCATCCCACATCTCGTCTTCAATCAATAGTATTCAATGTATCAAATCAGTTTGTGAGATGGTCTCTAAGTTCAGGTGGGATCTAGCCAAGGCTATATTTTGGCTTTGGTGGACCTGTTTTAATTTTCTTTAGCTTCAACTTGAAGTTGCATATGAACCACTGATGTTCTGTTTTGCAGTTGGTCCTTGGCCTTGTTCTGACTGATGATACTGAGTTTCTCCATTGCTTCTTTCTTGAATATTTAATCTGGTGCGGTCTATTTGTTGTTGTTTTTTTAATCATTTTATTAGGGGCTCATACAACTCTTATCACAATCCATACACACATCAATTGTGTAAAGCGCATTTGTACACTCATTGCCCTCATCATTCTCAAAACATTTCTTCTCTACTTAAACCCCCCGGCATTATGTCCTCATTTTCCCCCTCCCTCCCTGCTCCCCCCTCCCTCATGAGCCCTTGATAATTTATAAATTGTTATTTTGTCATATCTTGCCCTGTCCGACGTCTCCCTTCACCCACTTTTCTGTTGTCCGTCCCCCAGGGAGGAGGTCCATATAGTTCCTTGTAATGAGGTCTATTTGTATAGTCACTGATTACATTGTTGAAAAAGGCATTTGCAATGAATAAGTTGGTGATGGAAAATTATTTCCTGAGATCATTTCTATCATCAAGGGAATATGTCCAGCAGGAAATCCACCTATGTTTCCAACTTTCTCATTCCAATGACCAGTAATTATTAATAAAGCTTGAGAACATGTTTGATCAATTTCAGACTGCAGAAGTTGGTAAAGACTTTTAACTTCATCTTTGATATTAGTGGTTGGTCCATACATTTGAATAATAGTAAAAGGTATTACTGAACTCAAAACCTAGATCTCTGATCTCAAATACTAAGTTTGTGTCTCACTAAATCAAACCGAACCAAACCAAACCCATTGGCATCAAGTCGGTTCCAACTCACAGTCACCATACAGGATGGGGTTGAATTGTCCCTGTGAGTTTCTGAAACTGTGGATT